TAAAGTAAATGATTTACTTGTTTTCACTCTTTAAAAGACTAATATGGACTTATTTTGGACAGATTGAAGTTTGTAGATGCTGCTGAATTGCTGCAACATTACTTGTGGATGGAGCCTTGAAGTTAGAAGTGCTAGGAGCTACATGACAAGACAAATGTTGACTTTTTGAAAGACATTTTTGTTTTTCCAGATTTATTATTTTTAATGGTTGGAATATTAGTTGTTTAAACTTGGTACAATTAGACCTTTAATTTTTTGACTTAGTTATGCTTTTGGCAACTTTAACTCTAGTTTTTTGTTAAATGTCTATTACACTCTCACCTCTAATTTAATATAAATAGAGGAGTTGGATTAGTCTTTTAGTCATCCCAAAATCAAATAATCATCTTCATCATCTTACTACTAAAATAGTTTCTCTCTCTAGAAATAGAAGTAATCTTTTTGAAAATCTTCTCCAAGTTTTCTTTTAATTGCTTTTTTATTTCTTGCCATTTACTTTCCGTTATTTATTTATTACGCTTTCCGCTATTTATATTTCGTTATTTACTTTTATGTATTTCTTTACCACAATTTATATTTCTTGCAATTTACGTTTCGTTATTTAATTTCCATCATTATTTTCATGTATTAAATTATTGAAATTTATATTTCTTACAATTATTTTTTTGTTATGAGTAGCTAAATTTCGTAGCTCGGATGTAAGATGGAAATGGTGAGTTTGTAAATCAAAAGAAAGTAGAACATTTTATGTAACAACAATATTTCATTAATTCATTTCAATTTTTATAAAACCAATGACACTTCTYGACGACTTGATCACTGTAAAATGTTAGTGTCATGGACTCTAAGCTGAGCCATTGACGATTACAAGTGAAAGGGTTGACTCATTTGAGCCAAAAACATGACTTGCAACAAAAAATCACCTCTTTTTTTTCATATATATACACCCTTACATTTCTTCTACTTTCTTTTTTTCAATATACTATCTTCTTACCAATGTAGAAAAACTAACAATACTATAATTCAAAACTTTCAGAATACTCAAATTTTATAATGTTTCCTCAACTCCGATTATTGTTTCTCTATAATAATATTGTCTTCTTACCAATGTAAGAAATCTAAACAACATATAATTCATGACTTTGAGAATACTCAAATTATATAATATCACCTCAACTCCGAATGTTGTTCTTTCATAATAAAAAAAAACTATCACTCCAAAAATAAAGGTCAAACTGCTCACATATTTATATTGCTCTTTTAATTTTTGAACCATMACATGCTTATTTTATATATACCTATCATACTCTATCAATGTATCMTTTGTTCATCAACGTGAGATTTTCAAAAACCAATCACAACGCAAGATTTTAAAATACGCCACTCATAAGATGTCATTTCAATATTTTAAAGTTATCTTTTTATATGATATAAATTGATAAACAAACTTAACCACATTTCAAGATTTAAGAAAAATACTCAAGTCTCATAATGACAATTGCAAATGAAATGGTTGACTCATTTGAGCCAACATCATCACTTGCAACAAAAAAAATCACCTCCTCTTTTCACACATATATATATATATATATATATATATATACACACACACATATCATTCCTTTACTTTTTTTCTTCCCACCAATATGGGATAAACAAATTTAAACACATTTCAAGATTTGAGGAATACTCAAATGTCATAGTGCCATGTCATTCTAGTTGGTTTCTCCTTTAATGATATATATATATATATATATATATAGGGGCAGGTTCAAATGCGAACCATCCAATTCTNTGACACCAAAATTTTAATTTATCAACCAAAACGTTACCCAAAGTGATTTATATTTTGACAGATAAAACATTAGCTATCAGGTTCACAAACATTTACATTCCCAAATTGTGTCTTGTTCATACACTTCAAGTTTTGTTACGTAGGAATTCTTAGCTCTTAGCGGTTCGAGTTGCAAGGACTAATTGAAATCAGTTCATGTCACTAATATTCGATAATGTGAGTAGATTGAAGCACTTGTACTTCACAGTTTTGAACCGATGGATAATAAAACAAGTGTTATTGAGTTAGCGTGATGTATAACGGTGATTATCACACCCAAATCACATGATGACACCAAAATTTTAACTTTCAACCAAAACCTTAACCCAAGTGATGTATACCGGTGAGTATCATACCCCTATCACATAAGTATCACACCCCTATCACATACGTATCACACCCATATCACATGATTACACCAAAATTTTACCAAGTGATTTATACCGGTGATTATTACACCCTTATCACATAAGTTTCACACCCAAATCACATGATTACACCAAAATTTTACCAGGTGATTTATACCGGTTATTATCACATCCCTATCACATAAGTATCACACTCATATCACATGATTACCTGGAGTATATAGTTCAATGACTTGAATGATGTTGTGTCTTACCATGTACTAGAAGTGTACGTCGAATATCATCTAGAGTTTTAGTATATAAATCAAGATCACATCCATGTAGAAAATAATGATAATTATGTGTTATCTAGTGATACTTTTATGCTATTGCTTATTAAATAGAAACCTAGGATTAGAATGTCTAGAACAATGTGATCTTCTTTTTCACCATTCTTTTCTGTTTCTTCAAATCCATTACCGTTTTTTTATTAATTAATATTCGGTTTCAAAAATGTCTCATTTACATTTTCTATATACTATGATTATGTTCTACTAAACATAAATAAACTCTTGTTGTCTTATTGAACGCTCAAAAGACAAAATTACAATCATATAAAATAATGTATAACAGTGATTATCACACCCATGTCAGATGATTATTACACCCAAATCACATGATGACACCAAAATTTTAACTTATCAACTAAAACGTCAACCCAAGTGATGTATACCGGTTATTATCACACCCCTATCACATAAGTATCACAAACAAATCACATGGTGACACCAAAATTTTAATTTATCAACCAAAACGTTACCCAAAGTGATTTATATTTTGACAGATAAAACATTAGCTATCAGGTTCACAAACATTTANCCAAATCACATGTTGATACCAAAATTTTTACTTATCAACAAAAACGTTAACCCAATTAATGTATACCGGTGATTATCACATCCCCATCACATCATTATCACACCCAAATCACATTATTACACCAAAAATTTACCAAGTGATTTATACCGGTGATTATCACACCCCTATCACATAAGTATCACACCCAAATCACATGATTACATCAAAATTTTACCAGGTGATTTATATCGGTGATTATCACATCCCTATCACATAAGTATCACACTCATATCACATGATTACCTGGAGTATATAGTTCAATGACTTGAATGATGTTGTGTCTTTCCGTGTACTAGAAGTGTACGTCGAATATTATCTAGAGTTTTAGTATATAAATCAAGATCACATCAATGTATAAAACAATGATAATTATGTGTTATCTAGTGATACTTTTATGCTATTGCTTATTAAATAGAAACCTAGGATTAAAATATCTAGAACAATGTGAACTTCTTTTTCACCATTCTTTACTGTTTCTTCAATCCATTACCCTTTTTTTGATTAATTAATATTCTGTTTGAAAAATGTCTTATTTACATTTTCTATATACTATGATTATGTTCTATTAAACATAAATAAACTCTTGTAGTCTTATTGAACGCTCAAAAGACAAAATTACAATCATATAAATGTATAACAGTGATTATCACACCCATGTCAGACGATTATCATACTCATGTCAGATGATTATCACCCAAATCACATGATGACACCAAAATTTTAACTTATCAACTAAAACGTTAACCCAAGTGATATATACCGGTTATTATCACACCCCTATCACATAAGTATCACAACCAAATCACATGATGACACCAAAATTTTAATTTATCAACCAAAACGTTACCCAAAGTGATTTATATTTTGACAGATAAAACATTAGCTATCAGGTTCACAAACATTTACATTCCCAAATTGTGTCTTGTTCATACATTTCAAGTTATGTTACGTAGGAATTCTTAGCTCTTAGCGGTTCGAGTTGCAAGGACTAATTGAAATCAGTCCATGTTATTAATATTCGATAATGTGAGTAGATTGAAGCACTTGTACTTCACAGTTTTGAACCGATGGATAATAAAACAAATGTTATTGAGTTTGCGTGATGTATAACAGTGATTATCACACCCAAATCACATGATGACACCAAAATTTTAACTTATCAACCAAAATCTTAACCCAAGTGATGTATACCGGTGAGTATCATACCCCTATCACATAAGTATCACACCCCTATCACATATGTATCACACCCATATCACATGATTATCACACCTAAATCACATGATTACACCAAAAATTTAACTTATCAACCAAAACGTTAACCCAAGTGATGTATACCGGTGATTATCACACCCCTATCATATAAGTATCACACCCATATCACATGATTATCACACCCAAATCAAAGTGCCCTAACCTAGTATTTTGACAAATAAAACATTAGCTATCAGTTCACAAACATTTACATTCCCAAATTGTGTCTTGATNGATTCTGTGGGCTTTTCTCAAGATTGTTTTCTTGAAGACAACTTTTATGAAAGTAGTTCTGATAACGACGAAGAAGGTACGATGTGATAACATTAAAATATRTCATCAATTTTCATGAATGGTTTTTTTGGGGTTTCTATCACATGTGATAAAAAGTAAAAAAAAACTTGTGAATGTAAACATTTTTTGTCCATTTATTGTTTTTGATATATGTTGATTTGAGTTTAATGTTATTCTACTTTTGTAATTGAAAATTTTGATGTTTATCACATGTGATAAACATCCCATTTTTTTAGTTCGCTACTTTTTAAATTGAAAAGTTTGATGTTTTATCACATGTGATAAACCGGATGTTTATATGTATGTGGATACTGTTTGGTTCGTTTTCCATTAAATTTATGTAAATGATGCAGCAACAACTGCTTTTGACACCCAAAATATTGATGGCATCGACTTACAAGTGATCACAGTAGCTGTGATAATGGTGTGATAGATGTGATATTAGACATATAATTGATGCTAGTAAATAATGTAAATCAGCAAGTGAAAAATGATAGCTATTTTTGTAATCAAGATGGTTAATATCACCTTCAACTTGTAACATCAAATCAATTATTATAATTGTGATATCTATGTAAGTGAGAATTTTGGATGTTTATCACAAGTGATAAACATCTCATAGCTACAATTGTATGTTACTGTAATGTGTCTTGATGAGGTTGATTTTGTTTTGAATTTAATTTAATAGTAATTGTGTTTAGTTTTATTATGTCATATGAGACTTTGTTAAGTTGGTTTATATGTATATTGTTTTCTTTATTTATAACTATTGGTAATTGTTTCATAGATCATTTGTGTTACCAGCTCAAGGAGTGATTGAAAGTCCTTGCTGTGATGGAGTTTGTATCCCATCTGTTCCAAGTGAATTTCAACCGGTTGTTGGATCAATCTTTACATCTTTGGAGGATGGAATTGAAATGTATCGAAGGTATGCCGACATTGTCGGGTTTGATATTCGACTATCAACCCAGAAGACAAGGAAGGGTGGTATAGTCAAACTAAAATATGTTGTTTGTCATAAGCATGGAAAACCAAAAAAGAGGTCGGTTGACTCTGTTGAAGTGGATGGACATCGTAGACAAGTACGAAATACAAACTTTAAAGTTACAAATTGTAAAGCATCTGTTAGGTTTAAATACATAGAGGTGTCTCAATCATCATATAGATTATACTATTTTTGTCTCAACCATAACCATGATTTGATTGATGATGCTGATAGAATTTTATCAAGTAAGAGTAGGCAACTCAGCTATGATGACAAAGTTATGGTTCACCGGTCGGCGATGTCAAATATTGGGCTTGTAAGAGCCCACAAGTTGCAGGTTTGTTTGAAAGGTGGATATGATGAAGTTGGTTCTACTGTTGTTGATTATAAGAATTTCAAGAGGGATCTCAATAACTACATTGGTGATGGAGATGTNACATTTCAATATTTGAGGAATACTCAAATCTCATAGTGCCATGTCATTCTAGTTGGTTTCTCCTTTAATGATATACATATATATATGTAATAAAATAAACTATCACTTCAAAATTAGAGGTCAAACAATAGCTCACATATTTATATTGCTCTTTTAATTTTCGAACCATCACATGCTTATTTTATATATATATTTATCATACTTTATCAATGTATCATTTGTTGATCAATGTGGGATTTCCAAAAACTAATAACAACGCAAGATTTTAAAATACACTGCTAACAAGATGTCATCTCAATATTTTTAAAGTTATATCTTTTTATATGATGCAAACAAACTTAACCACATTTCTAGATTTAAGAAAAATACTCAAATCTTATAATGATAATTGCAAATGAAATGGTCGACTCATTTGAGCCAACATCATGGCTTGCAACAAAAAAAAATTACCCCTTCTTTTCATATATATATACACATATCATTCCTTCTACTTATTTTATTCCCACTAATGTGTGATAAGCAAATTTAACCACATTTCAAGATTTGAGGAATACTCAAATCTCATAGTGTCATGTCATACGGAGGTTCAAATCCGGTGACTCTGGACTATCTGCAAAGCAGGTGCTCGTTCTGGGATTAGTCGGCTCGCATAGCAGGTTGGATATCCAGTTTAATAAAAAAATCAATGAGTAGTAAATCACACGAAAAAAATTGTAATTTTAAAAACATAAATACAAACATAGCATTTTCAACAATCCATAGGAACCAAAAACCTAGTTTACTRTAAAATAAAATTACTAATTGCACATGGTAATCTTATTTTTTTGTATAATCTGAAATTTACCCATTAATTAATTCATTTTCTTAATCTTTAATTTAATTATAAAAAATGGTTTGGTTTTCCAACTCTCAAAATGTTTATAATTTTTTAATACAYGTATTATGTAATGTGTATATGGATCGAAAATGTTTTGTTTTTCCACGAACAAGAGAGAAGCGCCCACGTTCACTTATGATAAGCCACGATGACTCAGTTTCTTCCTAAAATAATTGGTTTTTGATGATGGAGGAGTAGTGATTAATGGCATTGACGTGCTATTCTCCCTCTTCTCTCCTTAATCTTCTGTTATCCTTACTGATTTTGTTAACTTCTTCCTTTGTATTTTATCCAATTCTGCAGTGTTGTGCTGTGTAAGTTGATGTAAATGTCTGTACAGATGAGATCTTCACTCAAAGATTCAAAGGTAACTCAGTTCTTTCCTTGTTGCTTATTTATTATTGTTAATTGAAATTGAAAAAAGGATGATATCCAAATGCAGATAGAGCCTGAGAAGACGAGCACAAGCAGAGGATCTTCTAGAAGAGAGAGAAAAATGGCATTGCAACAAGATGTAATTTGCTGTCACCTTTGACTTTTTCACTTTCATTTTTGGTGGTATTGTCAGTTGGGTGTTTAGAATCTTTCTCAATTATTGAAATAATCTAGAATTCATTCGTTTTACCCTTTTCTTTAGGTAGACAAGCTTCGGAAAAGGCTTACGCACGAAGAAAATGTTCATAAAGCGTTAGAACAGGCTTTAGCACGCCCGTTCGGGGCTCTACATCGCCTTCCTCCTGATCTCCCTCCGGTGGTAGGACATGATTCCTTTCATGGTCATCTGCATTTCATTTTAATCACTTGTTGGTAGTTGTTTTCGCACATTTTTATCAACAATGCTTGAATTTATGGCACAAAAATGTAATTGAAACTGGTATTTTATATATAATAGACATTGGAGCTCCTAGCTGAAGTGGCTGTTTTGGAAGAAGAAGTTATTAGGCTAGAAGATCAGGTGGTTCAATATAGGCAAAACCTATATGAAGAAGCTATCTACATTTCTTTCTATAAGAGGAATCTTGAAAACTCAGCTACTGATCTTCAAGAAAATTGTCCTTCACCCTTGAGACCAGGTGATGCTTTTACATCAGGTAATGTGAGAATGAATTTTTTGGTGAGAACAAGAGAATAAAACCTTCATATACCTACCTTTAACGATGCTCATTTACCTATCTTTGTCACCGTTGCCTGAACTTTGAAAAATTCTATGTATGTGGACACGGAGAACCGGTCTTACTGTACCTAGGAGCCAGTTTGAGCCTAGGGCTTGGCATTCGAACGAATCAACAAGCTTTAGAAGAGGTGATTTTTGGGTATTCACTGAATCAACAGGTTTAACCTTCGGTTAAATGTGAAAGTGATTGAAGGTATGTAAATGTTGGTGAAGGTAAATGAAAGTGAAGACAAAACAAATAAGGTTGATGAAGATTTGTTCTTTGTAAGCTATCAATTGGAAGGTAGTTGTAGTTGAAGTTCTGCGTCTTTTTTAGTTGTTAGATCGAAAAATAAATCATCCGAAGGCTCATAAATGTTCTCGCCATTATCACTAAAACTTTTATTCTCACACGATCCCAAGTCCCTCATACTATCCCTACTTCGTTATCAGTCGTTATCCACAGGCTCTGAATTTTGTTTTTTCGTTAGAAATGGTCAAGGAGAGAGTTAATGAATTATGCACAAATCCAACAACGAACAAACAGCAATCTCCAAATCCGAAAACTCAAAGGATTAAAACGCTGAAGAGATCTCCGATTGACTATATGTCATCAGAAAAATGTCTAGATCAAGGAGACGATAGCCCGAATAAGATTTCAGAAAGAATTCTGAAATGCTTAATGTTTATTTTTGCACAAATGAGCTCGACTTCAGCCCTGAGGATGACCGAAATGCTACCTTCATTAGCATCGTGTGAGAATCCATCGACAACAGATTTTAAGGATCCTTATGATGTCTTCTACAAATTCGAGAACACGGACATTGGTCCATATAAGTATTTATATGAAGTTGAAGCCACCGCGATCAATAAAAACCGAACAACAATTTCTGTTTTCTTATCACAAAGGCTGAAGTAAGTATATAATCTATGGTTGATTGATTGCTTAGAGCCATAACCTGTAGATTTGATATTAGTTTGATGTTATTTTTCATTATTCAGGATCCTACTCGGGAAACTTGGATCGGTCAACTTAACAAGCCTTACACATCAAGAGAAGCTTGCTTTCTGGATCAATATATACAATTCATGCATGATGAATGTATTATAACTTTCTGAATCATTTGTTGGTTAATCATCTGTGAATTCAAACTGATATTCGATGTAATGGTAAAATTATCAGGCATTTCTTGAACATGGAATACCAGAGACTCCTGAGAGGGTTATTCAACTAACGCAGGAGGTAATGCCACACACCCTTCTGCCTTCTGCCTTCGAATGAGTATTATACATATAACGATCGTATATATCCTTCTTACCGATCATCAGGCGATAATAAATGTCGGAGGCCATCTTTTAAATGCGTTTAACATCGAACATTACATATTGCGACTCCCCTATCACTCAAAATGCGTAAGTGAACTCCTCTAGTTTCTTTCATTTTCCCGTCGCCAGAAACTCTGATATCTGAAACTGGTCATATCATATGATTCGTACTAAATGCACCATAATTTTGAAAAGGGTGTCAAGAACGATGAAATAACTACACGAAGCATATTTGGGTTGGAGTTGTCAGAACCGCTAGTAACATTTGCATTATCCTGTGGAAGCTGGTCGTCACCTGCTGTAAGTTATACATGCCTGTCCTGTGTGTATGCATGCACCATGTTATACATCTTTTAATTTATAGGGCATTTGTTTGTTATAAGAAACTTTTTCAAATAATTTTGTAAAAAATTAATAAAATGCTTTGTTTCAAGATTGTCTTAAAAACTTATTAAGGCGTTCAAAAGTGTCCTATAAACTTATTGTAATATACATAGGACACGTAAGTGTTTGGTCCTGTAAACTTGAAGTCTTATAAAATAGGCTACTAAGACACTAACATATTTTTTTTACGTCTTATTAGATAAAAACCGATGTTTTGTTGTAGTAATGGCAAAGTTCATTAACCACATCTTTGGCATCTATACATTTGTGAGGAACTAAAGTTGCATTTTGCCACTAAACTTAAAAGCAGAATATTTGTAAATCATGATTTAATAATTTTGAAATATTCTAAAATGAAGGTAAGGGTGTACACTGGTTCTGAAGTTGTAAATGAACTTGAAGTTGCAAAAAGAGATTACTTACTGGCTGCAGTTGGGATTTCAAGCACGAAGAAATCGCTAACGATACCAAAGCGGTTGGATTGGTATATGCTTGATTTTGCTAAAGACATGGAGTCGTTTCTCGACTGGATATGCCTTCAATTTCCAAGTGAAGTCGGAAAAGTAGCAATGGAGTGTCTTCATAGAGAAAAGACCAAACCACTTTCGGATTGTGTTCGAGTTGGCGCTTATGAGTTCCATTTCAGGTACCTTCTGTACAAATAAAACTGCTGATATCATTTCTATCATCGACTTTCATATGGTTCTTATAGAGCTTTTTGGAGTTGATTAGAGATTTGTATTGAGAAATATATTGGAAATGGAAGTAGAGACATATTCTTCGTTGACGCCATTGTAAGTTTGTAACTATCATTCACACTTTGCATCTTTACAAATAGAATAGAAACCCCAATTGTTGTGAACATTTCTTTCCTATTGAAACAGAAGTGTAAGTTTCTTCAGACTATGAAAGAAAAGTACACTACAAAAGTATTGGGTTTATAGGACGTTTAATATCTAAATGTTCTAATAGATCGCTTTATAAGACTTAAATTTATATGACGAAACGACAGGATTTAAGTTTATACACTACAAGAAAAATCCTCATTATATTGGTCACTACCAATATAAAAATTAGTCACTAAGACCCTATAGTGACCAAAATTTGGGTGGTCACTTTTAGTCACTAAACGTCCGTCACTAATTTTTGTTAGTGACCAAATTGAAATAGTCACTGTATTTGTGACGACTAACTTGGTCACTAAATCAATGAAAGTCGTCACTAATTTATCATATTAGTGACCAAAGTCGGTGACCACCACGAAGTCGGTCACTAGTTAGGTTCAAGATAACGGATCCGTTAATTGGTATTAGCGTCCATTAGAGACCAAATATATGGCAATCACCATTAATGGCTTCTAGACTTCTAGTGACCAAAAAGGTAGTCACTAACTAAAAGGATATGAACAAAAAATATGCTAATTTCCACCTCAATTGTATTGCAATAAAATTTGAACCTACTAATTTGTAGTAATGAAAATGGAAAAATTGTACCAAAATGGAACCAACTTTCACGTAATTTCTATTTTGGGGAACCAACTTGCACCTGATTCTTATTTTGAAGAACCAACTTTCAAAATCATCATTTTTGGGAACCAACTTGCACCTGATTCATATTTTGGGGAACCAACTTACAAAATAATTATAGAAAAATAACTAAAATTCGTTTTTACTAATAACCAACTTGCACCTGGTTCGTTTTTCTATTAACTAAAAAAATCAAGTTAATAGAAAAAAATTAATTAATGCAATAAAAATAAATATTAAATATCACATTCAAAATTTTTATATCTAACCAATCCGTATCAATTAATTTTTTTCTATTAAATTAATTTTTTTTGCATTAGTAAAAAACAATTTTTATCGTGGTAATTTGGATTTTTTTTAAAATGTTCAATTTGATATCTGAATTAAAATAAATGAGATTTAAAATGAAAAATAGATTTTATTGCATTAATTTTTGATAAAAAACGAATTTTAGTTATTTTTCTATAATTATTTTGCATGTTGGTTCCCCAAAATAGGAATCAGGTGCAAGTTGGTTCCCCAAAAT